ATGCCTCCTTCCTCGCCCCGGCTGCAGCAACAAAGGGCCCTTTGTGGGCGCGAGGGTCCCCAGGGGCAGAGCGCTGGCGTCCTCCCCGCTCCGCTGGGCCCCTGCCAGCCCCCCGCCCAGCCGAGGTGTGCCGCCTGCCTCCCCCACCCCCATGGGGGAGAGAGGATGGGCTGCCTCGGGAGCGAGGCATTTCAGGAAGAGGGGTCCAGGGAGGGGGGCGAGCGAGCAGCGCGGTGACAGGAGCGCGCCTGGGCATGCCAGGTTGCCGATGGGGAGCTCTGCTCCGGGGCCAGGAGTCCTCCGGGTACGGGGTGGGTCAGTGCTGGCTGCAGCCACGGCCAATTCTGCCCCCCGCCCCGGAGAGGATGGGCTGCCTCGGGAGCGAGGCATTTCAGGAAGAGGGGTCCAGGGAGGGGGGCGAGCGAGCAGCGCGGTGACAGGAGCGCGCCTGGGCATGCCAGGTTGCCGATGGGGAGCTCTGCTCCGGGGCCAGGAGTCCTCCGGGTACGGGGTGGGTCAGTGCTGGCTGCAGCCACGGCCAATTCTGCCCCCCGCCCCGGCTCATCTCTGTGCCACAGGGAGGTGGGGAGATGTGGCTCTGGGGTGGGGGGGCATGGCTGGGGGCACGCGGGCTCGGACGCAGGTCTTTATCTGGAGATGCCAAAGTGGCATGTTGGCACTTGGCAATACCACAAAGCCGCAGGAAATCCATAGGGAAGGAGGGGATGGGTTTTCCAGGAAATCTGTGTTTCACCCCTGCCTGTGACCCCCTTGCAGAGCTGCACCTCCAGCAGAGGAGCTGTGTGGTCCCGGCTGCTCCAGGCTTTGCTTTTAGACAAAATCATGCTTGGATTTATGGATGGGTCCAACATCCGAAGGGCAGGGAGGGGACAGGACATGCCTTGGGACACTTGTGCGGCTGCAGCGTGGGGTGGAGGGCACTGGACCCGACCTGCACAGGCAGAGCTGGGTGCAGCCACCCTGGCTGCTGGGGCACGAGGACCCAAAATCCTGTCCTGCCACCCACAAGGGCTTGGGGGCTTTGCAGGGTGCTGCTGGCGCTCCCTTGGAGGGAGGCGGGCTCGGGTTTTTTTCAGGTATAACCACGGGTTTTTTGGAAGCAGGCCTCTTGGCCTCTGGGGAGTTGGAGGATGGGAAAGGTGCAGCCTCCCGTCTGCTCCTGGTGCTGGGCAGGGCTGGCAGCTGCCTGCGGGCGCTGCCGGCTCCAAGCAGGCAGCGAGCAGAGCCCCTGCGCAGGCAGCTCCTGATGCGTGGGTCTGCCGCCCCTGGGGGCTGCTGCTCCAGCTGGCTTGTCCCACCGGTTGGCCGTGGTCCTCCAGGCTCTTGGCCTCCTCTCCATGGAGCGTGTCCCACTGGCTCTCACCAGCATCCCAGGACGGCCGGTGGGACACCCTCTGCATGAAATTAATAGAGAGGGAAAGTCGTCTGCATGCTGTTAATGCAGTTAATGGGTCTGCAGCCCCCTCACGGCATGGAGGTTGGCACGGCCACTAGCAAACTGCTGCTCCTGTAGATGGGGAAGCTTGTCTTGTTGGGAGGAGATGCTCTGGGATGGCCATGGGCCTCCGTGTGCATCCGCCGTCCTGGGCTGGAGAGCAGCGAGGGCTGGGGCATGGACCCTGCAGACCCGAGGGGTGGGCAGCGGCTGGAAACCTCCGCAGCCGAGGACTTGGGAAGCCCCTTGCTGTCCAGCGCTGCCTTTCCTCCCCATTGCCCGTCCCCAGTTCTCCCTGTCTTTGTTTGGAGGGGGCTGGGTGTTAGGAAGCCCTGGGGGGACACACGCCTCAGCCTCCCCCCAACTTCCACCTCCAGCCTCTCCATCTTCCCCAAGACCCCCGTAGCAAACCCGTCTCGCGGATGGAGCCAGAGGCCATCCCATGTGGGGAATTTTGGGGGGCACAGGCGTGCCTCCACTCTCGCCCCTCCCGAAGCGCCGCCCTGCCGTGCCGTGCTCACCCCCCCCTCCCGCCTCCAGCTGTAATTAGCAGCTTCGTCAAGGTCAGGCAGAGTCGTGCCGGCTCCTGTAAATTTAGACTGTAAATTTACCACGAGCGGTAATTAAAGCATGATTGGAGCGGCAGCGGCTCGGCCGGGCGCTGCGGGAGGCGCCAGCTCCCTGCATCAGCCCTGGGCTGCAAAAAGCAGGGGTGGTGGCGGG